TATTTCTGAGGCACCAATCTCATGTCAAAACGGGATTATTCAGCAGTGTGTCTGTGAGTTCACAGCAGGAAGGGTTCCAGCAGCTCCCAGGGAGCGACCCTGGGCATCCCCCACTGCCAGAGTCCTTTTCCTTGGAGCAGGAGCATGGCTGTCTCTGCTACACCTGCAGCCAGTCTCTGCTTGTGSCCTCCCTGCTCCCTTAATTCTCTTCCCTCCAGGAGCCAGGGCACGAGCCCTCAGTGTCCCAATGTCACCACCCCAGGGCATTTCCAGGAGTGCCCCTGAGGGCTGGAGGAGGAGGATATTMCTGCAGAGGTGAGTACAAGTTTGAACTTGAGGGATATTTGTGACTGCATCAGCATTTCTGCTGTCCCCACACTGTCCCTCCTTGCCGACCTGACAAAGCCTCTGCTTTTCCCCCTCGTGCAGGGGCTCTCCCCAGGCTGGAGGCTCTTGACACCGAGGTTAGAGTAGCCCAGCAGCGTTTGGTGCTGGCCTTTGCCCTCTACCCGTGGCAGAGTCATGTCCCTGTGCCCCCGCTGCTCCCTTGGACCCGCCTCGCCCCTGGGGCGCCGTCCCTACTGTTTGCAGCTGTAGACCACCTCCTCCTGCATGCACTGCTGGCACTCCACGTAGCAGCACCACTGCACCTGGCAGTGGCACGAGAAGGTGACCAGGCGGCTCTGGGTGTTGTAGCCTCGCCCGCAGCACATGCTGTCGCAGTTGCCCTCGCGGGAGCAGGTCCTGCCCGCCGTGCCCAGCGAGTATTTGCTGGGCCGGCAGAAGCTGGGCGAGTCCTCCACGTACACCAGGTCCGTGGGGCGGGGCAGGGCGGGCTGCTTGGGCGAGTGGCCGTGCCGGTGTGGCCCAGCCAGCTCCGAGTGACCCACGGCRTCGTTGCTGGTGCTGAAGACCTTGACAGCGTCGTCGTAGCGCAGCTTCAGGAGCCGCCCGATCTCGTGGAAGGGYGAGAGCTGCTTCCAGCACGTCCTCACRGCRCATGAGCCCGACACGCCRTGGCACTTGCACGTGGTTTTGAGGCCGTTCTTCACTGCCTGGTGAGGAAGAAGAGTGGTTATTACCTGCCAGGACCTGGTTCTGGTTGAGGCAACACCTCAGGTGACAGACAGCTGCAAATACAGAATCACAGAATGACAGAACCACCAGGGTTGGGAGAGACCTTCAAGATCTCCCAGTCCAAGCCCTGCCCTGACACCTCAACTCACCCACAGCACCCAGCGCCACATCCAATCTCTCTTTGAACACATCCAGGGATGGTGACTCCACCCCTCCCTGGACAGATCATTCCAGTGCTTTAGCCCTCTTTCTGTAAAGAACTTTTTCCTAAGATCTAATACTTCTGTTTCATTGACACTATTTCTATTCTATGGAATTAAAAATTATAATAATTTTTTTTTAAAAATTCAAAGCAGAGGAATGGCTACAGAGTTGAGCCARAGAGTGGAAAGCCTGAGGACAAACAGCTGAAAACCAAATCAGTTGTTATTAATTCTATTTGGCACAATAGGAGTRGTCAACCATAAACCTGAGTGTCTCCAACATGGTGGATTTCTTTTGGGGTATTCAGATGAAGACAGTGCTCTAATTAAACAACCAGTTGGACTCATTAAATGAGAGGCAATGGTAAGTCAGTAACTTGTAACTTCAGGTCAAAATGCTCAGTCTGGTGGTGTTCCTGACCCAAACCTGTGGCATGGCTCGTTCCATAGCAAGTCACCATAATTGATCATAATTGATAAAAGAGTCATAATTGATCTCAAGAGTTTCAGTCCTTACTCTGCTTCACACATCCCCTCAGCTCAAAGCTCCAGCTGCCCTCAGAACCCCCTGTGGCCCTGACAGAGCCCCTGTAGTCATTCAGCCATGGAGTTTCACAGCTGTCACTGTGCCAAGTGTCCCTGTCACCCACCCTGGGACCACTGAAGGACACGGGGAGCTCCTCTGCCACTCAACACGCAGCTCCTCAAACCAGAGGAGAGACTTCCCAGGGACTCTTGACACACAGAGAAAACGTCTGGTTTGTGACCAGGCATTGAACGGTTTGGATGGGTCAGAACAGTCACACTGAGTCCTGAGTCCATCCCAAGCTCATACCTTGATGCCCACATTGGTGTTGTGGATGTCCACCTTGGCCCGCAGGTCTTTGCCGATCCTCTTCTGGCCCAGGAATTTCTTCAGGAACTTGGTGCTGTACTTGAGGTTGTCACCACAGACGCCCCACTGCCARGCCTTGCGGTTCTCCAGCCCCGGCGAGTCGTCGCAGGTGCAGCGCTCCATGCGCCCCGCGCTGCACGCCCGCGCCAGGGAGTGCGTCAGRGCGGCCGAGGACACGGCGTACAGGAAGGCAGTCTCCTTAAAACCTGCGTGGGAGAAGGGTTGGGAGATGGTAGGAGCAGKAAAGGCAAAAATCATGYGTTCACCCACCTCACTGACTTTCCRAGCACARTAATTAAATGTACRAARACACMAAACTCCRCCAGCGCTTCCACRCTATCCCCAGCAGAGGAATGTGGAGGTAACTGGTGTAGTGACACCCCAGTCTCCCCCATGACTGGTTCTGTATGGACAGGACACCACTCATGGATCAAGGGAGGGATGGTGACAACGAAACAATCCTGGGAAAACACCCAACTGCAAAAAGTGACAGCCACCAAGCTCCGTTTGACCTCAGCACGGAGCTGATTGGTGCAGTTAGAGACTGTCATTGAAACCCACATTGTGGCATATAATCAGAAAATCTGTAGCAGAAACTGAAAAAGTGTCTTAAAATCCATYCTGTTATTAAGAAATGTTTTTAATTGGGACTTTCTAATTAGTATTTTCTATGGAGGGACCACATGTAGTTGGAATGGGAAGGGTTCCGTGTTGAAGGACACCTTGGCAAGGAGGAAAACTCAYACACGTGTGTGGGTTTCCTGAATTCCCTGGAAATTATCTGCTCCCAGTGACTGTGGGGGTGTGTTCTGGAGCTGTTCTCCTCCCCAAAGAAGGATTCCCAGCTTGGCTACAATCCCTGAAGTCACGGTGCGATGATGACATTTTAATCAGGAAACAAAATACAGTGACTGAATGAAAATTCAGTGTGGAGACACGAGATCAGACAGGAATGTTGTGAGCCTCACAGAAGTGTCAGAAACTCTGATTGACACAAACCTGACCCAAACCCCAAAATATTTTATTTATTTAGTTATATTTTCCTCCTCTCCTATTCAGTCGTGGGGAGGATCTTAATATTTCCTCCAGAAAAAAGAAAACAACCAAACTATTAGCAGGAAATTGCTTAACAAGTCAACAATTTAGGAATTAGTCCAAGGAAGAGAGAGACAGGTGACTGATCAATAGCTCTARGTACAGGAATAGGTGAGACTGGACAAAACAGAAAAAAAAAAAGGTTTATTAAAGGAAGAACACTTAYACATTGCATGGGAGAAAACACATTGAGGCAAACAAACGTTCCATGTGGGAAAATTCCAAATTTCCTTCGACGTCAGAAGGAAAATCTGCTTCACCAAATACAGGAAAAGAAAGACACAGCCACAGAGACTTGATCTAGACTTGCACTCAGCCCTGCTTGGAGCAGGGGTTGGGAGTCACCCCTAGAATCCACCAAGCCCAACCTCAAATCCCTCCGYCATTCTGTCCCCTCAAAGAATTCCCATCCAGCTGTAAAAACAGATCCAACCACTGAGGGCTGAGAGCTGAGTGATGTCACCACAAATCYGAGCAGAGAAAGGACAAAGAGTTCTCCYRATRGCTGCCAGCAGGAAGAATGAAAAAYGTGACTGATCAGGAACAAAATGGGAGAGGTTTCATTAGCAGCTTCGTAGGATGTCTGTGGAATTGCAGTATTTTAAAGATGCACCAATTGCATGGACATGAGGGGAGAGTTGGGAAAATACAGAGGAGGTCAAGGAAATCAACCCAACCAACAAAGCGCTTCCTGCCTCACTATTTTGGTTGCTGTAGCCCCTAGGGCTATAATTTGCAATTAATTTCTCTGGTTGATGGAAAATATGGAGGAGATCAACCAACAAACTGCTTCCTGCCCCACCATTCTGGTTGCTGTAGCCACTGGGGCAGTAATTGGCAATTGATCTGTCTGGTTGATGGAATACATGGAGATCAAGGAAATCAATCAACAAACTGTTTCCTGCCCCACCATTTTGGTTGCTGTGACTACCAGGGGCAATAATTTGCAATTGATCTGTCTGGTTAATGATCCTCTATGAAATTTCTCAGGCTAAGCTAAAAATAATGAAAGGATGTCACCAAATCCACCAAAAGTCTTGGAAAAGCTGGTGTGGGGCATGGTCAGTGGAGCCTATGGATGACAACGTGATGCTCACATGTTTTCAAAGGGTATCTAACCCATCCCAAAGCAGCTGGGAGAGGATTACAGTTATCTGAGATCCCAAATCTGTTAAATCATTCTCAAATCATTCTAAAACATGCTCACYAGGTTCCAGCATCCCAGAATTGAGGAGAACATTCCGGAGGCCCTTTCCCATGCCATGAGGAGCCAATGGGCCCTGCTGGCTCCGCAGCCCCGGCTAAATCTGGCTCTGTGGATCACCACACTGCTCCTGCTATTTCTGATTCTTTGCTTTCCCCTTCCCAGTCCTGGCCAGCTCTCAGCCCACTGGAAATCAGAGGCCACTGCTGTGGTCAGGCCACTGCAGACAGCAGCGACTGCAGATGCCCAGCAGAGTTTGAAATGTCTCCTTCTCCTTCCTTCGAGCAAAGCTTCGACATCACCAGGCTGCCAAATGCCTGTCTGAAAAGCCTAAGATGATTCCCTCATGAGGAATCGATCACCATTTAATTGTTAATTGATAAAACAAGCGAGGGAAGTTCAAGCTGCCCTTCAGCCCCCATGTAATGTGGGGCAGAGCAGCAGATTTTTAGGAGGACACACCAAAAAGGCAGCAATCAGCCCCGAGGAGCACAATTTGGGCTCTGAACAGAAGTTTCTCCTGGTTTCTCTCCTCCCAAAGTGCCAACAGAGCTCCTGTCACCGCAGCCAGCAGGGCCTGGAGCTGATTCTGGATTCTCAGGGCTCTGGTTGGGGATGGGTCACTCCCCTGACCCCACTGAGTGTTGGGAGAGACTCGGGGAATCTGAAACCCTCGGAACAAGGGGAACATCTGAGTGCAGATGTCTCTGCTGGGCTGTTTGGCTGCAAATGTCCAGCACAGAGATGAACATCAGGAGGCTGCAGCAACCCAGCTCCCTCTGGTAGGACGTTCCAGGTGCCCAAGCCTTGCCCTGAGCTCTCCAGAAGGATTTCTAAGCTCAGCAGCTGTAAATACAGAAGGATTTTTGCTGCARTGTGTGCTGTGGTGTGCCCCAGGCCACAGTGAAATTGTAACAGGGGTTTGGCYGTGGGGTGGCTCTGCCAAGGGAAGATGCTCGGGCTCAGAGGCCTTTCAGCACTGTAGGGAAGGAGGGGGAGCATTTCAGAGCAGGTGGAGGATGAATCTCTCTGATGACAACAAAACCAACCCAACAGAGCTATAAAAGTGTGGAAAGATTTAGGATGGAAGGACTCTCGAGGTGTTTAAAAAAAACCTCCTGCTCAAAACAGGGCTGGCTCCAGCACCAGCTGCTCAGGGCTTTGTCCAGCTGACTCCTCCAAATCTCTCACGATGGAAATTCCATGCCTGTGAGTCACCACTCCTCTGCTGCCCCATCCTGGGTTCCTCATGGCATCAGTAAAACCACTGCAGGAAGGTCAGAGCCCAACCAGCAGGAGGAAAAGACATGGATTGAGGGATGGAAAGATCGCAGAGTGTTCCTTTCTCAAGGAGAGAGAGAGGTTTGTGAGTGGCTGATCTGATCTTTTAGCTAAAGGGATTTATTTCCCAGATCACTGAGTTGTTGGAGATTAAATCCTGCTTTACCCGGTCTCCAGCAGCCTTTAATGGCACACCCAGGACACCAAAAAGTCATCCCTGCTTTACACATTTTTATAAAAGCACCAACTTGCCCCCATGTAACGAGGTGGCTTGGAATGAGCTAAAATTTAACTCTTTCCATGGGTCTTTAAAGAGGTGGAGAAGGAATGCAGAAGGATTTTGCATGGATCACTGAGGAGCTGTCACAAGTGACAACAGCCACAGAAAAGTTGCAGGTGGTGCAGAAGAAGCTTCTCAGTTGCACCCAGAGAAGCATCAGGAACAGCAAATGATGCAGACTGGGAAAGCAAATCTGAAATTTCAAGAACCAGAAAGCCCTTGGCTCATTTTCTGTTTGTTTGTTGGGCATCTCTAGAAGAAGGAGAAGCACTGAAGATCCAGATCAGTCACAGCACTTGCTGTGTCAATCACTTGCTGTGATTGCAAGTTGAGTGTGGCTTTTCACCTGTTACAAAAACGCCCCATTTCACTGGGAAGGACCTTTTTCACTCCCTTGCACTCTCAGAACCATTAAGGACTACTAAAAGTGTATCTTTTTCTTTTTGGTTTCTCTAGGACCACAGAGATATCAAATTATTTAAACATTTCTACAGCTCTTCATCACCACCTGGGTGACAGGGGAGAGTTGTCTGACCAACAAATTCCAGGGAAGAACCAAGAAATGACACAAACAGATCAAAAGTGGCAGCTGAAAAGCACTCAAAAACCTTTTTGCAAGCTAAAGAGAAAATGAGAATTAAAAATTGCTCCCAGCCAAGTGTCCTKTCACACAGGGGGTGCACACAGCATACCTGGCTGCATTAAATCATCATTTGATCCTCAAGATTGTGTAATAAGAGTTTTCAAACACTCATCCTCAGCTGCCAAAACAAGTTTGAAATTACAGGTGATATTTTATTTTGTCAGTCAGGAGCCCATGGAAATGTTAAGGCATGCCACCGMCAGATAATTAAATGTTTTTCCAGCTATTTGAAGATGAGGATTATTCAATTGTCATTTTCAAGTTCTTTGAGGCTGATGAAGGTGCAGATGTCAGAAAGACACTCAAAATTATCACCAGAAGCTCCTTYCACTGCCTGCTGAAAAATTCACAGCAAAGCCTTGCAATGAGGAAAATCTGATCTGATACGTGCTGGCTTGAAAAATATTAAGCTGATATTTAATGCAATAAAAATTGACAATTTTAAAAGGAAACATTAAAAAGTTTCAATCCCAATGCTAATTAAAATTAGCATTGATTCTCATCGAAGTTAATATCGCCTTCTTCAGGCCCTTTTTTTAAAAAAAGCATTAAGTTATTAAACATTATCAAAGGACTGAAACTCAATAAATCTGATGACTGAAATTTAGTAAATGCGAACAGAAGTTATTGAAGGGCTGAAACTCCATGACAGTCAGGCTTTGGTTGGATCAGGACAGGTCTGGCAAACCCTATATTCATTCTCTGGGAATTTTTATTAAGAAATAGTTTCAGTGTCCATCATATTTTTCTCAAGCATTGGAAGGATTTATTATGTTCCCTTCTACCTCAAATTCAGAYCTTTCAGGACAATTTTTAYATCAAAATCATTTTGGGGAAAAAGAAAAAAAAAAACAAAACAGTGGGTYTTCTGTCCACTCTGCCCAAATTTCTCCAAATTTATGTAGAAGAGTCTTAGGAGAGATTTGTCCACATGCACTGAGAAGTCTGCATGCTGGTAAATACCTTTTTCAAACAGTAAATATGTTTAAATTCTGTATCTGGGAATAACAGAGGTTTACATACACAAATATTCAAGGAACTGAAAGGATTTTTTTCTGACATGGAGAAAACTGACCCTGTTTTCCCAGAGCATCCCCACAGCTGAGGAGGGTGCTCAGTGTAAGGAACTCTGGAAAAATCCACCAGCCAAAGGTGTGAACATCCTTCCACTCCCCAATCCATGACAAACCATGCTGGGAAGATAAGGACAGGGATGATTTTATGGCCAAGGGGCCCAAACTGCCCAGCTCCCATCGCTGGGTGGGGCAGAGATCTTGGCACCCCTGATCGCCATCCCTCTTCACTTCATGTGAGATTTAATTTGGGAGTGATTAAATCGGGACAGATTCAACTCAATCTGCGGTGATTTGATGCCTTAGGATTTTTAATATCTATATTTCCATATGTCTGTATTCTTGTACTTCTCCAGTGTAAGCACTAAAGCTGCTGCTCTCCCATCTTCACACAAAACAATTCCTCTCTGAGCCTGAAATCCAAGGACACTTCRCTGCCTCAGAGCCCCAAAATATGGAAACAACAGAGAATTGGGGGGAGCTTGGGGTGGGTGCCATCATCACCTGAAGGTGTCATTGGAGAATTGGGGCCCGATGTGTTCATGAGACAGAACTGATAAAAGGGGAAGATCTCGTGACTCGGGGTCCATTTTGGGTGCAGCCTCAGGAGTCTTTGTCTGCCCTCAATGTACCAGCAGGCCTGGATTAAATCTGTCTGCTTTTAGTCTCTTCACTTTGGCCTCTGTTTCAGCTGAGCCTTGTTTTACCCATGGAACATTTCCCTCCACACCAGCTACCTTGTACCTCTCTTGAGCAGGCTGGGCCGKCCCTCCAGGCTGCAGTTCCAGCGCTCGCTGCGGAACTGGAACTGGCACTCGAGGATGCCCAGGCGGACGGCGTCGCGCAGCGTCTCTGCCAGCCCCGGCTCCCTCCGGCACAGCCGCTTCTGCTTGCGGGAAAGCTGCAGCAGCTCGCACTGCTTGACGTGCCCCCTGCCCGGGGCAGAGCCCCCCGGCACCCCCAGGGAGGGGAAATGGGTCAGAGCTTCTTTGCCGGTCAAGCTGCAAGGAGAGAAGAAGGGAAAGCGGTGAGTTGTGGAAGAGAACCCTGGGTCATCCAAGGGCACATTGGAGAGGAGCTCTGAGCCACCCTGAAAGGTCCCACGGCACAGGACATAATAAACATAATAAACATAATAATAACAAATTAACATTTATTATTATTATTTTTATTGTTACTGAATTTCTGAAGTTGCAACACATCGAGTGACTTGGTTTTCCTCTAGAAAAGGAAGTCAGAAATAACCAGACRGACAGAATGCAGTTCATGAAATAAGCCCCCAAAAATGCCAGATCAGATCTATGGAAATAGTCTGGAAATTTTGCACACTGTGGAAATAGTCTGGAAGTTTTGGACACTATGGAAATAGTCTGGAATTTCTGGACACTTCTCCTACACGGTGGAGGATGCAAGTCAAGCACTGCAGCTGTGATTTTAGTCCCCCCTCTCACCAGTCTCCATCCTCATTTCAGCGCCCTCCATCCCATCATTCATCCTTTGTATTTCAGACAGCAGCAGTGGCTTCACTGATTATTTAGACCATCTCCTTCCTAAGAAAGATGTCATCAGCTCCAGGATGATCAGGGTGATCTGCTCTGAGCTCTTCCCTTTCCCAGGACCTTCAGGAGCAGCAGGAGCTCAGTGCAGGAGCTCCATGGTCACCCAGAGTGTGACCCCAACTGGGAAAAAACAGAGAATTTTGAGATAACTGCTCACTGTCCTTGCCATTATGCTTCCTTAYCCTGGGATTTTGGGCAAAAATCCATGAATCCCTTCTCCTGGAGGGCAGGGAAGCAGGCAGTGCTTTAGTCCAGTGGCAAACAGCAAAGCTAGAGCCGTGGGGTGAACGCTGAAATCAGAAATTCAGCCCTGGGGCAGACACAGTTTAACCAAAAGTTGTTGAGCTCCCGCAGGTTTTTTGGGGGGAGTTTGGTGCATTTTAAGGGTAAAGCCAAAACTGAGGCTCTGCTGTAGCTCAGGGGTGTCTGACTCACAGAAGGCGCTGACTCAGGGAGGAGAACGCAGTGCAAAAGGTGTTGCTTAAAACTGGGGGAAAGGGAGAAAAGGCGGCGAGCGGATCTTGGAGACTGGCAGATGTGATGAAGGGAACAATAAAGGGAAGAGCTGTCCYGGGCAAGCTCAGGGAAACTCTAAAAACAGAGCAGAATTGGTGGGTGAAGGTTAAAAACAGAACAGTGGAGAGGAGTCAATAAAAAACTCCTGTGGAAGGTGCTCGGGGCTCTCAAACCTGCAGAGTCACTGAGCACACAGAGCAAGGATGAACCAGGCATTCCTGTCTGCTAGGACATGTGCAGCTGAAAAATGTCCAAAATATCTTGTGTAAGAGCACGGATAGGCTGGGTACCTTCCACAAACCCCAAAAAGGAGGAAAAGGAATACCAGGAGCTGTGGGAAAAGGAATGCAGGGCTGGGAAAGCAGGAGTGACCTGTGAGTAAAGATTATTCCAGCCTYTAATATATCAGGGGGAATTAGGATMATTTATTAATTATAAATTATAATTTATTAATTATAAATTGTCCTAATAAATAAATAAAATTATTACTTTTATAAAATCAATTATTAGACTTAAAATAAATGAGGCTATTAATAATAATAATAAATGAGGCTGCAGTTAAACTTGCAGCCTTTCTCAATACAGGGCACAAGGAATGCTAAAATRTCCATTTATTCATACAAATCATGGAAGACAAAGTCATAAAGGGACCATTAAATAAGAAAATACTTTGCTGCAGGAAATTCTGGGATGTGCAGACTGCCAGAAGCTGGAAAAGATTCTGAGAGAACATCTCAGCCTGGCACCCTGCTCCTGTTTATGCTTTTGCTCTCACATTTATTATTTSTTAGTGCTGGAGAAGGYGGTGAGGCCACACAAAGCTTTGGCCCGAGTTCTGCAGCTCTGTACAGGGATGATCTCAAAGATGTCCTTTGGCCCACCAGAGGCCAGTGACACCTGGGACAAGGTGGCATTGCCATTCTCCAGGCTCTGAAGGACACTGGGTGCTGATATCTGGGAAAAACCCAAGCAGGATAAAAATCTTTGAAGAATTTGATTCCATTTCCAGAGCAATCTCAGTGRTGCACAGCAAACCCAGCCTGGGACCACACACAGAGATATCGAGCCTGATTCATCCTTTTCACCACTCAAAGCAAAAGTTCCATGGCAAAACCACTTCCTAAAACTGGATCCAAAAATGCTTGAAATTCTGAAAGAGGTAATGCAGCAGCCTACACAGATAGCTGGCTGCCCAGGCAAATGTAATTAATATTTATTATTATTTTTATTGTTATTGTTGCTGTTGAATTTCTGAAGTTGCCAACGCACAACTCAGAGCTCTTAGATTTGTGTTTCTGCTTTTGATTTTTAGATGGAGAGGTGGGAATAGACAGACACACCTGTAYTAAAAACTTGGKTTTCCTCTAGAAAAGGAGGTCAGAAATAACCAGATGGGCAGAACAGAGTTCATGAAATAAGCAGTAAATTGGTTCATCCAAGTGAGTAAAGCTCCCAAGAAAACATTTTTCAGTGACAGCCTCCCCTGTGCAAACTCTCCCACTTGTCACCTGAGGCAAGGCAATGTCAGCAGGAAAGAATGACATAAATTACATAAATTATATAAATTATATAAATTATATTAATTATATAAGTAATTCCACCAGGGAGTTTGAGGCTCCCAGGATCAGGAGCCACACGGTCAGCACACAGACACAGCTCCCAAAACTCATCTCTCACACAAATTTCAATTGAAACAAGTAGCAGAGGAATTCAAGGATGTGCCCAAGGCTGTGCAGGTGACAGTGGCCACTCAGAGCCACCACAGCCACCCTGAGCTCGCCCCATGAGTGGAGCTCCCACCACCACTGTGTTTTATCAGAGCCAGCCCAGGACCAGATCGAGATCAGAGCATGCAAACATTCGCAGGAGATTAAATATAAAATATGCAGATATTTGCAGCCAGGCAAACTTTAGATGATTTAGGGTTTATTATCTACAGATCGTGCAGCAAAGAAAGTGAACTCTTTGAATTAATGCACACCTGCTCGCAATCTGAGGGAACAATAAGGATCTCCAACTTTTTTATTTCTCTCTCCTTTTCTGTCTGAGCACTTTGCTAAATTCATCTGTTTCCTTTAATCTCCTTCCAGCCACATTCCAGCTGCTTAAGAGACTTTTAATGAGAGCCTGTTCCTGTGCAATGCCCGCTGTCCTCTGCATCTGAGAGGTCTTAAAAAGCAGGAAAAATGTGCCTTTCCTACCTCTCCCGAGTCAGGAGGAAAATCAAAGCAGCCCACAACAGGGCTCCATATCTGATTTCAGGGGCCTTTCATGTTCCASGGGAATATCCCCACCCCACAGAGAGCTGCAAGGAGCTGCAGGAAAGGATGTGGGACACGACAGAAGGAACCAAGGTCTGTGCAAGCCCTGTGCCCACGGCAGCTCTGTGAAACTGAGTTCTCATCCTTTCAGAAAACTGAATTCTCATCCTTTCAGAAAACAGAGCTCTCATCCTTTCAGGAGCAGCACAATTCAACCCTTCCCGTCCGTAGGAAAGGATGCCCTGTGAGGGTTGTGCTGTGGTTGCTTCTCAGGGTGGTTCCTGTGCTTTGTGCCTTCAGGGGAGGGGGCAGAAATCCCCAGAGGATCAGAACTATAAACCTCAATAATCAATATTAACATTTAACAGGTGATATCAAAGGTTTTTCACTTTCCTCTGTCAGAGCTGTCATTTCAGCCCCTGGGGCAGGTGTCTCTGTACCTGTCATCCTCCAGGGTTTCTATAAAGTTTCTGCTCCTCACAAAAAGAAAAAACTTGAATTGAAACCTCAGGTGAGTCCACAGGACATTGTGAGTCAGAATTCTCTGAGATGGATTTTTGCTGTTTGCTGCAAACCCTGCCTGGGAGCAGAAACAGATGATGTGTCCAGATCCAGACTCATTTTTTATAGAAAAGAATTCTCCTGAAGCTCCATAGAGAACAGGACAGAAAATTCCTGCATCACAAGAGCTGTCAGTTTGGGAGGAGAGGGAATAACCTGGCTCAGGCTCCTGCCCAGGGGTCCCCATCCTCACCTGCTCTGGGTTCCCAAATCTGAGCATCCTTGGATTGACCCCTCCAGCTCCCAGCTCAGCCATGAAATATCTCCCTGTGGATCCCAGTTCAGGGCAGCCCCTGGGCAGTTTTTATAGGGGAGAGCAGCTTTTCAGYCCAGCTCTGCACTGGCCACATTCCCCAGAGCATTCCTGACATGAAACACTCAAGTGGGATGAGCTTTTAGAAACTCTGCTGCCCTGAGACCGTGACTGAGGAGAGCCTGGGAGCTGAAAAGAACCAAAAAGCATCCCTGAAAATCCTTTCCCTCTGCCATGCACTGCAGCCCCACAGCCCCTGTGCTATCACTCCATCCTCAGTCTTCCCAAATCTCAGCCAAAAGTTTCCTTCCCTCTCCATTCCYGCTCTTTCTCTCCCTTTTTTAACTCCCCACTGTATTTTTGACCTACAAAAATACACTGGGACACACCCTCCTGAAAGAGGGACAATGATGCAGCGTGTAAATAATACCAACATTTAATTATCAGCTCAACAGGACGAGAAACATCCTGAGAAACATTTCCAGGAGTGCTCAGAACTSGCCAGCAGAGTCGCTGTTTGAGGTGCACTGGATTTATCAGGGAAATGCTGCAATAAAACAGTTTCCACGGAAAACTCTGGAATRTGGTAACAGGGCTAATGGGATGGAAGATTCTGGATATCTCTAGAAGAACACGGGGGATGTGAGGACAGCTTTTTAAGGATTCTCTTTAAGGATATTTACTTTAAGGTGTCATTTGACACATTTTGCTGTTTTCAAAACAGCCCCTGCGAGTCACATGGTGTTTTTATTCTCTGACAGCCACAAAAAAAATCCTTCCATCAGGAAACGAGCAAAAACGGTGCCACTGGCTCTGCTGGAGACAGAACCAGCACCAAATACAGAGGGCACAGGTTGGGCTGAACCAGGAGGAGCTGTGAGCCCAGGCAGCCCATCCTGTGAGATCCCTGTGCACCCACCAGGGATATTTCAGGGTGAATTTTAAATAAAATCTACCCATGGAGCAGGGACCAGCCTGGCCCAGGGGTGAGACTCGTCCCAGCCTGTTCCACGGAGGCCTCCCCAGGAGAGGGCTTTGATCAGGTTTGTTTTTTCCCCCTTCCCAAGCTCCTGCCTSAGGTGGGGCTGCTCTGGATGCTGCCCTGGGAGAAGCTCTTTGCCCTCCAGCACATCCTCARTGCCTTTTCACCTTGTGAACCACCAGAGAGGAGACAACAGGAGGCTGAGAGCTTTTAATGAGGTCTGGAGACATTCCCAGCACCTGAGGAGGTGGGAGGAAAAGCATGAAAAGGAGGGAATTTACAGGATGGGGGAGAGCTGAAGCAAAGGTGGAGGCCAAACCAGCACCAAGGAAGGCAGGAGGTGAGGACAGTGGACACTCATGGATTCCAGAGAGCCAGGAAAGYCCAACACAACCTGAACAACAGCCAGGTCATGCTTCACACAGAGTTTATCTTCTCCTCCTCTCCYAAAGCAGGTTTTRATTTACCAAAATTCRATTTRATTCAATTTAATTGAAGGGACACAGATCAGGAGTTGAGGATCTGCTCAGGCACAGCCAGGGCACTGACAGCAAGGAGCCAACAGCTCCAGGTGATGGGAGAGGGGTCAGAGCTCTGCTGGACAGGRCTTGGAGCACCCTGGGAGAGTGAAGATGTCCCTGCCCATTGCAGGGGGTGGCACTGGGTGACATTTAAAGGTTCCTTCCAACCCAACCCATTCTGGYTTCYCTRAATTTATCYATTGCAATGCTGCGTTCACTCTGGCAAAACTTTGTTTTCTGTATTTAAAGGTGAGCTGCACCTTTGCCAGGCCCTTGGACCATTTTTGCTGGACTATCCCATACACTCCATTATGGAATCAAACTCAGCATTTCCTTCAACTTTTGAACCAGCAACACTTCACCTTTACCACACCCACTGCAGAAAGGGCTCAGGTCCTCTCTCTGCACTTTGCCACCTTCACTTTTACATCCTCCCAAGTTTTCTCCAGTCAATGCTTGGAAAGCCAAGGTGTGGCTCCCATGCCTAAGCCTCTCCTATTTGGCCAAATTTAGAAGCAGAGAACTGGCCCAGGGTCCCCAGTCCCCTCCAGTTCAGCAATAATTTAGTGTGAGGTTGCTTTTCTCCCAAAACAAGCCACGTCAAACATTCACTTCTAAAATATCCCCATTCCTTTCGAGTCTATCAACTCAATTTTGAAAATACCTGAAATTTAGAATATTCAGAAATACCTGAAAGTGGCATGTATCCCCCTGCTCACCACCACCAAACTCAGAGTTCTTAGACTTGAGTTTCTTTTGATTTTTAGATGAAGAGGTGGGAACAGGCAGAGACACCTGTGTTAAACCCTCAAGGGGAAAAAAAAGCCCTGAAAAGTGAACCCACAGCCTCAGATCCTGATCTGTGCATGGTCAAGAGGCAGCACACACAGAYTTCAGAAAGCTGCTTGTACCAAAGAGATCATTGAGAGAGCAAAGGATCACTCAGGCTGCTTTAACCTGGAGCAATGGKCAGTGACAGCTCTGTGCCGTTATCAGAGAGGGCAGCACAAATTCTTTCCCTTCCCCTGGCACAGCCACCTGCACATCCCTGTGGCTGGAAAGCCAAAAAATCCCTCGGTGGAGTGAGTGACCCGCAAAGGGGAGCCCCTCCCCAGCAGGGGCTCGGCTGGRAATTAGGCTGGATGATACAATTCATAAATTTCAAATTCAGATGATTTAAGGAACAAATGAAACAGAAGTTGTGTCCCAGGTGAGAAGTGCCAAGCCAGAAAACACTTCCCAGTAAAAGGGAGGAAGAAGGRCTTAGGGTGTAGTGGAAGGGTCAGTGGAGAGGGAACGAGACCCTCCGTGTGTGGAAGGTGGCACAGAACGGTCCTGAGCGCTGCAATCACAGAATTGCAATGTTTGTGTCAGTTCTGCCCTCACTGATGTGTGCACCAACAGCTCTGCTCACCGTGAGAGCCTGGAAATGCTGCCCGAGGAGCAGCTGGTGCAGAAAACGAGACAGAAAACCCCAGAATGGGAAATCCTGCACTGACCCCACCTGTTCCAAACCCATCCCTGCCTTTATCCCGAATAAAGAAAAACGCGAAGGGAAGGCGCACGCACAGGGACAGCCGTGCCCCAGCGATCCCGACCCTGCAGCGTCCCGGCCTGGGGCAGCAGCTCTGCCTCTCTGTGACAAGGGACACCCTTAGACCCGGCCTGGG